GCAAGCTGTCCTCTTGCTATCCCTGCAAAATAGCTTTGCTAGCAATTGTCCAAGCACTCGGACAGTAGCCTTAAAAAGGCCACAATAAGAGGTCTTCAGTCGAGTGGTGTCATATGGTCTTCATTTAGAAGTATCACAAGAACATTACTTCTCACAGTATTTACAAATCAAAAACATATGGCTGTAACCTGTAATACTGCAAGAAATACTGCTCTTTGGGTTTGTTTTTGGCCTCAGACTTCTGAAATATGAACCAAGCAACGGGATTTCAGCTTAATGCGTGATTCAGTCCATTCTTCTTCAGAGCTCAAAGTCTGGGGGACTGCTAAAGCTTGCATCTGAAAAAAGTGATTTGCCCACAAGTATGGTAATGCACTACAGTTGGCAGCTAGAGTAGCACGTATATCAAAAGGGTGTGGGGTGGTTAATTAAAGACATCTACTTTCCATTTAATTAAAAAAAAAGAGATATTAAACTGGCTTTGGTTCTTACAAAGAGTTTTATAAGTCATATATAAGCCTCTTGCATTTACTCTTTAGGTTCAATCAATATGGTTATCTACCTGTCAATTTTTCTTGCTCTTTAATGCAGAAAGAGAGCAGCCTTTTTTATAGCTAGCTCAGAAAGTACTAAGCTAATCAATACAAGCAGCGATAACAGAATGATTTGAACCACGTAACAGAAGCTTATCACTTTGCAGTATACTGAACCCATCAAAATATTTTCCTAGAAGTAAGTGAAAATAGAAGTTCTCCATTTTTTATTACTTAAGTGGGTGGTGACATAGATGTTGTAGGCCTTTTGGATTTGTTACTAGCTTTGTATTTTGGGGAAAATTTGGTATATGAGCATTTGCTACTTTGTAGGAGCATGAGGCCAATTTTGCAGTGAGATTTAAAAACTCTGCCTTGAGAATCAAACATTATCTCAATTCCCCTTGATTTCCCATCCCTAAACATTTATTGGAAATCCATGCATTGTTCTGGAGAACTGCGCATAAGATTTTCCATGAATGTCTGATGTTCCTACAGACCTTAAACCCCTTTGCTTTACTCAGTACTCTCAGTAACTTGTGTTCAAGCCCAATCTGAAAAGTACAGGCTTTCTTTCAGCTGTCTCCTGCTGAGTCAGTCGATTTGAAATAATTTGTAAGCATCTGATTCCTAGAGGTTTAAATATACATACATGTATCAAGATTCTGGATTTTAATGCAGCAGAGAGAGGATCAAGTGTTATTGTGGTCTCTAACCTCTACTTTTTTTAAGAAATGCATAGGATTTAACTATACAGTTCTCTTTAAGTGGTAAGTAACAATCATCTGCCATCATACAACTTAAATAGGTGGAATTCTACATAATAGAAAAGCTCTTTGCGATGTCCCAGGCTTGCCGCGATTTACCAAATGTTAAACGCAAACTCAGAATTAATGTATATATGTATATAAATATGTCCATAAATACAGACTAAAGAGATGAGAGTTAATAAGAAAGGAACAGGAAATAATGTTTCAGCTTGAGGCTTTCTATCAGTTTTAGCTCCAGGGCCATTGTTATCAAGTCTCTGCCATGGTATCTGGTGCATTTCTGCATGTCCCCCTGAAGTAACACGACAGCCTTATGGCCTCCCAGTTCTGAAAGGTGTGCTTCCCAATGTCTGAATCTCAGAGGCTGGCAAGCCTGGGTGCTAACAGTTACACTGGGTTTTGCTCAAGGCACCAAACCATAAAATTTTTTACCTTCACCCTTAGAAAACAATACCGATATGTAAAAACAAAGAAGAAAGGTAAAAGAAATCAAATGGATAACAAAATTATCTAGAAATCCTTACAGGACATAGCTAAATGTCTACAGAGGCTCTACTGTTCCTATTTCTCTACCAGAAATGGCCACGCATTGTGCAGACAAGTCTGAACTAGGTCCGTATGGGTGAGTCAAGGTGTGGAAATCACACAACAGTATCCACTCAGAGGCAAGGATTACTCCATGGGTGCGTAAGTGCTGCTAACACTACATGCTGACCCAGTCTGGTAAGTCTATGTGAATTTACCATGAATCTCTACAAGCTCAGAAATCACTAAACCACAATCCATCGCACAGTGGAGACATGCCAGCAGCAAGGCATTAACAATGTTGTCCACTCCAGAGGAGCTGAAAGATGGATGGGCATCTCTGAGGGCAGAATTGGGCCCAGTGAATGAACAAAGATTCTTAGAGCAACACTTCAAGTGACACAAATTATGTTATAAAATTGATCACTTCCTTACACATGGCAGAAAGCTTCCAGGGCACTCAACATCCTATTCCATTAAGCCATGATAAATAAGACCATATTTCCACATCAGTCTGGACTCATCTTTTAAATCTGCTTCTTCAAATATTTGGTTACTTATTCCCCTCCCTTTTCTTAAGATAACAAAACCTGTTCTTTCTTTTCCAACTTTGCATGTCTTAATAGATGCCATTATTGCGGGATCATCATCTAGAAATTTTATTTCCTCACAGAATTCCTCATCTTAAAAGCATGCAAAATTTTGAGAAAAATCACTGAAAAATGTTTGGTGTGCAATCTCTATGTGTACACCCAGCAACTTGAAAAAATGGACTCAAGGATACACAAGAGCCACAGAACAAATTATGGAAAAATGCCCCAAAAAAGTAACTCTCCTAATGCTAGTGTGAAGATGATCACCACCACCACCTGGAATAGTGTTAGGATGGAAACCCGCAGTGCAGGAGTAAAATTGTTTCAAGCAGATCACTATGGCTCGAGGTGGCTAGGGAAGGTTCATAAATTGATAAGCACCACTGAAGGATCATAAGCCTCCACATCAATTGTATAAAGATTACAACAGAGCCACTCGTTGCAGTCATTCTGAAAAGGTTATGGGTTTCACAGGTGTGCACTGTCAGTTCTGATTAAGCTTAAACTAAACCAGTTATCTATAACGTTGGATTGGAAGGAGTTTTATTGCTGAACGCAGGGTAAATCAAATTCAGGATTCACATCTGTGGAAAAACACATAGGGCCAGAGTTCACAATCCTGACACAGGCAAAAAAAAAAATCCAACCCCCCAAACTCAGGCGGAGATTTGCCTGTAAAAGATCCATCAGTCTGTCTATTGTCTTATGTTCTATATTGGAAAGGAAAATTATCCGTCACCTTAACACAGCTTTGGGTTTTCTTTCCCTCTTCAAATTATTGTTCGCTCTTATAATGCAGACTGTTTTAAGATTATTATCTGCATTCATTTCTAAAATGCCTAGAGTTTACCATTTATCTGATCATAAACAAAATTAATTATACACCTATACTTTTCACTACACAGGATATAAACTAAAGCAACTATAGCAACAAATTCACAATGTAATTTTTCATCTGTGTGACTAGGCATCTTTCCAAAAACAACAGTTCACATCAGAGGTTCTCAGAGCTAGGCAAAAAGACTGTGGGTGAAATCCTGCACCCAAAAAACATTGCTAACAACTCAGTTGATTTCAACAGCGCCAGGATTTCACTCAAAAATTAAAGAAAGAAAAAATGCATTCTTAGGAGTTGATACAAGTTGCAAAAGGTGCATTCTATTTCCAAAAATACTTCATATTAATGCTGCACTTTAAAGTGCCTCTATTGACTCGCGGTGTTAATAGATGGCAAAAGTGAAAAAACGTATTTGCTTTTGCAACATCATTATTTCCTTTGCATGCAATTATTTACTTGCCAAACAATGCTAGCAACAAATCGCAACAGACTATGAAGCCATCTACATCAGCAGATTTTTAACCTAAGGTAAAAATAAACAGAAACATCTGTAAAGTAATCTTGTACAAAGCTACATTTATTAACAAATACATTTTCTAATAAAACACCATCTGCAAGCAACCCTCAGCTTCCACTTGATATAAATAGGCCTTTTACTGTTTTCAGATGCAGTTCCCAGAAAATTATTCCAAGCTCTACTGCAAAACACATCAGTCTTTGTTGCTGCCTGGAATGTTAATAAATAACATCAAGTTTTTAAATAGTCAAACAAATTATTGGCTTGAAACAATTATTCCAATAGAAAAAGCTGACCTTTTCCAATAAAGTGGTTTAAGAATGCATCGCTCCTCATTCCTAGTATAATATATTACCAAGCAGGGAAATATTTTGGGAAAAACAGAAAGCTATGAAAACCCCATATTGCAATTCTGCTCATATGTACACTATAAACCTACCTTGCAAAGGTTACTGCTTTAGAGAAACTCAGAATAAGAGAAAAAGTATACAGAGTATAAATAGTTCAATTGGTATTCTTATTATACATCTGTGCTTGGAATGGACACGAATATGAACCAACTAAAATGTTCCTCACAGGACTACTGTACTGACCAGCATTACAAAATTCAACAGCTTAAAACTGTTGATAGCAGAGATTGGGACTGAATCCCAATATTAAGAGCTCTTCAAAATGCATAAAAGCTTTAATGGGACACATTTTCATAAGCATTACTCAGAACTTAAGCCACATTAATTCCATTAAAAGCAATGGGAATTTAGCAAACTCTGCAAATAAACTCCTTACTGGTAGAACTATTTCGCACCGCTGAAATTTGAACACTGCCATTTTTCCTTAGAGTTTAAAACAGTGATCTTTCTATCAAACTAGCTCCTAAATGACAATGCAAGATGAGTGAAAACTGCAGATGAATTGAGATATTAGAGTTCTCTGTCCAGAATTCTAGCTGGTATAAACTTTATTACATCCAACAGAGATCTAGCCTTTTCATATTAATTGGAAACATGCAATGTTAGTATTCCAAACTGTGCTTTTAAAATTCATTAAATATTGCTACTGAGACTATAACAACAAATTTTGCCAAAAGAAGTCATTCACATTCTGGAGAAAAGGAATGTTTTAAAACATAATTCCAGGAAATGGAACTGCATATTTCCAGAGGAAAATATTCAGTGCATGAAACACTCAAGCAGTACGACAGAGAAGATCTTTTAAACTACTTACTTCAGTAACAGGAGGAATGTTGAGCTTTGGTACTTTGTTCTTTGAACTAGGTGTGTTCACTTTTCCTTCCAGCAGTGTTCCAAAGGACTGATTTCCATATCCACTCTCAATTTCTATTGGAGGTTTCAGTTCAGGTGAGTCATTGGGCACCTGGTCCTGACCGTCCATAGGCCTGACATATGCTGTAGGCTTTTGCTGGACCATGCTGTTTTTACAGTGAAGTCCTGGTGGGAAATTCTGGGTCGAAAGACTGTTGTTCGCAGATAACAAAGATGTGGAAGGAAGTGGAGATCCAGGACCATGACCTACAAACTCAAGCTCTGTGGGTGACTTCGAATGACTGTTTTCTTTGTAAGTATGTTCTCCAGCTGCTGACTTTGAATGAGTATGCCTCCTCGAATGTGAAGATGCTGGCATAGAATTTGCTTCCTCAGTTCCTCCACTTTTATGCTGCTCACTCTGACAATTATAGAGGTCTTCATACCTGCCCTGTGGCTGGTCATGAGAAGAGCTATGCTTTGTCCGACTCTGCTGACTACTGGACTGGCTTGGCTGGGCCCCACTAGAGTTGTGACCACCACGTGACCAGTCTGTCCTCGACTTCCTGCTGCTCTGGTGACTGTGTAGCAAAGTAGAATTAGATGACAATGAAGAAGGCGGAGGCATTGATGTTGATGAGTGACCACTGATCTGATGAGATGGGATCATCCTGTTTCTTGGTTCTGGGAAAAAGTTCTGTTCATTTTTGTCAATGGGCGTCTGTGGGACAGAATTCTTTGGGATTCCTACAAGATGGCTCTGGTTGGAATGGTTAGTTAACAGGTCCTTCATCTCATCATAATTTCCCAATGTGTTCTGGACACGGTTTGCAAGGGCATCGCCTTTATTTGTCTAAAAAGTAAAAAAATAAAATAAATAAAGGAAAAGAGTAAGTAAATTCCTGATTATGAAGTTACTGCTCAGAATAGTTGTCTTAGAAGATGGCAAATGTTAGCTGTTTAATGGTGTCATGCTGACATTTAATTTAATTTCAATTACACTTCGCATATGTTATGTAAGAAAAACCTATCAATAACTGTGTTCAAAGAATCTCTTGAAACAGGCTTGCATGGGTAACACTTGTACACTGCTTCCCATTTTCTTAAATATGCTCTCAGAGAAGTGTTTAAATTGCATCAGTTATGGATGTTAAGAGCAAAATAGGCTAGTTTTATGTCAGAGATGTTGGGCTTCTACATTTCATATCATGTAAAACATGAACGTGCAATTACTGGCTACTGAGCATTTGAATTGCAATCACACAATTTGTTTAAGTATGTTATTGCTCTATCAGCCCCTTGACCCATAGTCCTGCCATAAATAGAAGCTGTGTAGTCTGTAATGAACATATAGTGCCAAACTCTTCACTCCAGTGTAACTCCAATTACTTTTCTATAGATGGTTCAGTTTGACCTGAGGTATCTACCATCTGAATCCAGAAAAGAAAAAGCTTCTACCCAACTCAAATGCTACAGTAGCTTCAAAGAAAAGATCATTCAAAAATATTTTCTTATAGAACATAGACAGACATGATTGCCACATTCTTAAGTATCGTTATTCTTCTGTTGTCTGCAGGCTGGTTGTACTTGTGAATCGTGCTTTTCTTTGATTTCCAGTAATTATTAAATAAATACTGACTCATCTGTATTTCACTGCTATTATACTTTTTCTTTTGAAGTGTGAAGTGGATTTCTTGGTTCTTTTTCCTTTTCCCTTTCACTTGTAAAAAGCTGGGCAAATAAGCTGGAAGCTATAATTAATACACAGCTAATTTCCTCGCCCTGTTCTAACTCACCCCACTGAGACCCATAGTACCAGCCTTCTTACTGACCTTTATGTTCCATTGAAACGACCAGCAGAGAACTAAAACATCTTATTCCCCATGCTTATTACTTTACAAGACTCAAAGGATAAAAACAAAGCAAAACTATAGTTCCTGTTCAAGCAGATGGTTAACTTCTACAGTCCGGAATTAAATACTTCAGGATGCAGCCAACTAACCTTTTACTTATGTTTGGGTTTTTTTTCATGCAATACAGCACATAGTGCCACAGTCCAAAGACACCTTAACACCAGGCCATAAAGATGGGGAAAGGCAGCACTATGAGCTTGTGCTTGGTTAGAAAGTGTTGCACTTCATTCCTTGACAAAGGATCCTACCATGCCACTGATCCCATTTTCCTCAAGTATTAAGCAGAAGTTTGAATGATGAAAAAAAAATCCATGCATGGATTTCTTCTGAAATATCTGCTTATATTACCCACTGCTGAACTAGTCAGGAGATGAGGAGAATATTGCAGAAAGATATTTTTTTTCCCTTAGTACTGCACATGCCATAAAAAATGTTGAAAAAGAAGATAATAAATGCAAATTTCCTTTGCTCATTCTCAGGGATTGTAACATATATTACCACTGCACTGAGGCAGTGATTTAAAAAATAACTGTTCAATGTTGTTCTCATCTATATACATTTTGCCAGTGCTCCTAACCGACACAGTTAATAATCCCAGTTGTGGAGAACCACGAATCACTTTTATTCACTAACTAAGTCCCTAGGTTGGTCATTTTAGTGGCAAAAATTATACTCTAGCTACGCCAAGAATAAGCTCTTTGTATATGAGCAGTCTCCTTCAACTGAGTTGCACAATAAGCTGTTTGGGCAGCAGCCAAAACCAGGCTCTCTCTGTTCAACCCTCGAAGTCTAAACACTTACATACTTGTTCTGTTTCCTCCTTCCCCAAACACTTTAACTCCTTATGGGATACACATGGGAAACAACCAAGTATCGAAAAATCCTGACCACTGGCCTTCACCTCTGGTTCCACTACACTTCCAGCATGCACTTAGCTTACTTTCCAGAAAGCAAAAGTTTAAAAAAAAAAAAAGTTCTGATAACATATCATCACTGTAACACTTCAACATCATAGCACATTAAATGGCTCTTGTCTAGATCCTTACAGAGGGAATCAATATTTTAATTTGAATGTAGAGCTTTTCAATCATTTCTTTGTTGGAGGTATCTGATTCTCTCAACTTATTTCTTTCACATGTCACATAATGATAAATTGATATTAACTCTGTTTTATGCAGAATGTTCACATCCTGGGGATAAAAGACACTGTATAAATGTTAGGTATTATTATTTGTAGTCATTTACTGGGAGCACTAATGAAAAATATATTTCCTGAAAAGCATGGAGATTAAATTAATTTAAACATCTTTAGAATATTTTAAGTGCGCTGAAGCTCATATCCGATAGTCATGGAAGTCAATGGAAGGATTATTACTCTCTTCAATGTAAGAATTTGTAATATTCAAAGTAATAATTTGGACCAGATTGCAAAGCAAAACCACATAGTGAATGTGAGTGGTAATTTGGCTTGGGCTTAAACAAAACTAGAGCACACACAACTAAGACCAGGCTTGTGCCTCACAACCTGCACAAGCTCAGGAGTGTAGAGCAGTGTGCTACCTACATTTAAGACATAAAGCATAACGTTAATGGTTTTATTTTATTTCCTCAGCAAATTCAGGGCCCTCGTGAGAAGCAGAGTATTCTTGATAAGCCTGGATACCAGCAAGACAAACACAAAATCCAGTCATAATTTCTGGTTGCTCTTTGTTACTTCCAGATTGGGGACAATTTCTACCTTCATATTCTGGATAATTGGCTGATTTCTTAAAGGAAACCTCTCTGTACTTCTTATTTTCTGAACAGCATGTTGAATCACAATTTTGCCGCTATCAAGGAAATGAAGCATTTTCTGAGTATTCCAAGGCATAAATTATACATCTGGTTTGTGACTCATGGCTAGTAGCGTTCCCCCTCATTCTAGGCTCTTGTTAATTTAGGAAATGTGCACCTTCCTACATTTGCTTCTATCGCTTTCAAAAAAGATCCATAATACTATCCTGTTGGAAGACTAATTTGCTAGCTGGCTATTGCATTATGGTTTTACAAAGGAAAGAACTAATACACTCAAACTTATAGGTCCAATTTACAAGGGTTTTGTGAAAATTTGTATGAAACTTGAGGTTTCATAATTCATTCACCTTCTCATGCCTCATAGTTAAACTAACCTCCATGGATTAGAAGCAGAGATCTTTTTTATGCTAAGCCTGAATAGCATGGAGGGGCTTTACCTGAAAAAGATAAATGATTTAACATTCACCAAAAGCTCCCAAATGGAAATGCTGCCCATTGGGTTCCCTTTCTCAAGCTGAACTCTTCTGAGGCAATTCCTTTGAAAAGTAACAAAAATACTCCTACTGTTTTCTCTAAAATACTCATCTCTGAAACTCTTTACTAATTCAAAACATTAAAAGGCATCAACAATTCAGTAGTAAAATTGCAGCTTCTCTCAGGAAAACTCTGACATTGCTTTTTCAAATATCTGTTGTCATAACACTGCAGGCTCTTCTCTGATCACTTCTGCAAAATCAAGCATTAGCAGGTTGCACCAGAGTTCGAAGGCAAGACCCGCAACCCACATGCTCGGTAATTTGCATTAAAGGGCAACACAGCCCTCCCTGCCCAACCTTCCCAAAATAATGCTGGATGTCATCACATCGTCAAAGGTGTTGTTTCCCCACATGAGACAGCAGAGCTTCAAAAGAACACTTTTGTCTTTTAATAAGTGTGTAGAAATGTATTTTATACACCCACAGAAAGAAACACCTTCTTTCATGTATGTGTACACATACACATACTACAAAGAATCAGTGTAGAAACATGCACTTGTCCAAAACTATAGTGATCGCCTATGTTTTATTTGACAGAGGGATAGAAAGAAAAATGCGCTAACAGCTAGAGCAGAGATGATAGATGGAGGCAGATACTCCACACATCTCATGATACACAATGGCAGTAATCTCCATTAGAAAATTTAGCCTCCTTTCTTTGATCAAGTTTTAATATCCCCAACTTTAGAGCATTCAGTTGTTTGGTCTTTAAAACATCAAAACAGAACTGGTGGTCTTCCCTACCCCAGCAGTCCTTTCTCTGGGTTGAAGCAAATGAGGCAGGAATGATAAGCAAGTAAGGGCACTAGGTATGGGAATAAAAGAAAGGATGAGACAGTTTCTATTTCTGAGACCTGATATTCCCAGCCTTCCCTTTGTCACTGTAGCCTCCATCTTTCCTCCCACCCCCAGATCTTTCAGAAACAAACCAGCCATCCCTTGAGCTGATGCTCACTAGCAGAGCTAGCCCAGCTGAGCATGCGGACCTTGTGCCCATCCAGGCCACAACAGTTGACTTTGCTGGGTAGTGTTTTATCTCATTCTGCTCCCACTGAGAGTAACCAGAAGAGATAAGATAGGTGCAGCTTGTTGCATGCACCAGGCCTTGAGTCTCATCCACACAGAAACATCTGTTCATCTCAAAATGGGAAAATAATTCAAACTGAAACGTGCGGCACATTTGTTCTCACCTCATGGCCTCTTCATTTTATTTTAGAATAAACATGAACAAACCCCTGAATTTAGTTTTGTACTTGCTTAAGAATACAAGTGACTACATATCCACTAAGAGTTAGATCCAGCTTTCATTAGTTCCTAGGAAACTGTACTGTGGCTGGTTCTTAGCAATGCAGAACTTACAAACGAAATGCCAGTCTATCACTTTGTCATTTTTTTTCCCCTATAGTGTAAAATGTAGGCAAGACCTAGCTTTCCTATTCAGTCTTAGTTCTCTTTGTTTTGCAAATTTTAAGACACATTAACTATTTTTGCATGCAATTTCCTCTTAACTTTTATATTTTTCAATTTATAATTACAGTGCTTTTTTAGGATAGTAATACATTATGCTTTGCTCAATCCCACAGATCTGACAAACTTCTCTGCCAAGCAGGTGAAAAGCAATTAAAAAAAAAAATGCTCAGGAAAATCACCAGGATAATTTTCTGCTTTTTAGTTGTTCAGTTGTTGACAAAACATATGGTCTGTGTATACCTGGTGCAAAAGCATGCACACTAAACAGATACTATCATTCTTACGGTACAGTAGATATTGGGGGGGCATGGTTTTAATTCCTGGCACAAAATTTGGTGGTGGTAGGCATATTGGTCTACCTACTGCAATCCAAATGACCACTTACATGAACAAAAATGTTTGCACAATCTGCAGGAAGGCTCAACAAAATCAGTTCATGGTAAGTTATTATTCCCATAAATAAAGGTGCTAAAATGTGGTCTAATGCAGAAACAGTGCATTGATTAGATTTTTATAAAAACAAACCAAAAAGACCCCACAAACCAAACTGTCCTAGTGTATAGTCCTTATTTGGCTGAATAAATCTCTGTCATGGATGAGTGGAATCCACCTCACTCAAAAAGAGAAGCAGCAATATGTTTTATTGAAGTAAAATAATAATTTGACGAGGTCAAATAAGTTTGATGGCAAGGTTCACCTTCTTAATTGCCGAATGGAAGAAACATACAAAGGAAAATTGAGTTAGAATGAAGTTCGAATGATTCACACAGAGACCAGAGATGCAAAGGGTAAGGAGGACCCTCCCATTGAGTCATGAGGTTCAGAGTGGATCCCCTTGCTTTCTAAACTCCTTTTGGAGCCTAGGTGCGGCTGGATCCAATCTTAGTCTCAGACTTGGGCAACGGTTTATGTCTAATGGAATTAGACATATAATATTGAGTAGCTACATGGATTAGTAATGTTTCATTAGTATTAATTCAGCATGCTATCAGGCACTTACCACAGACCTGTCGCAGGTAAGTGATCTCTCCACCTTGGGTAAGGAAAGTTCTCTTAGTCTCAGCTGAGGAATATCTACCTTTGAGTGGCATCCCTCCTCAAGGGGAGAGTCACCTGCCATGGCGTCTAGCTGCAATTCAGGATGAGCTCCAACTGAGCCCATCCTGATGGTAATATTTATAGGGTGAAGTAGTTGGCTGCTAGTCAATAGTACAGACAAGATAGATAGATGTCTTCATTCTAGCTCCAGTATCTTGTTCTGTACTTTGGTTATCTTGCACTTTTGGTTTTTGAAACCACCTTTCGAAAATATTTTTCAAGACACCCTCACTCCCCTGTGCATGAGCCAGGGACTTTCCAGCTCGCAAGTTCACCCCAAGGACATGAGGCCTGTTGCTCCTTAGTCAGCCTGAACCAACATACAGCTAGGAGTCAAGTGTATCCATCACACTCTCCCAGTCTATAATTATTAGACACCATTTTATAATAATGCCAGTCTTTCCTCCTCCTTTGTGGGCGATTTTCAAAGACCCCTCATCCTCCCTACAGCTGCTAACAATGTAAAATGGAAAGATGAAGTGGTGGCCTTTCAATGGATGTCACTGATTGGGAGGAGAAAAAGATATGGAAATTTACATTCTGATGAATTCTTTGGGGAATGTCTTACTGAAAATCAAAGCAGCAGAAATCATAAAGGGGGACATCCCTTGGTGATGAAAATCTCAGGCAGCAAAGCTCCTTGGAGAGAATAAGACTTGTCATAAGCCCCTTTCATACATTTGTTATGCTCCCCAAAGGTGCAGACAGTCTCCCAAAAGACTTCTTTGGATCGTTATGATTGCACAAGAAAGCTTACGGACTCATTATCTATAGAGAGGACGTTGGTTTTAACAACTCAGGTATATTTTATTCTTAAAAATAAAAGGACTAAGTGCTAGCTTTGTAGGTATGAACCCACTTGTAGAGATATCAGCTGCACATACTTCTATTGCAGGACTTTGCTGCATGTTTAGAGGAAGAAATCTTGAACTGGACTGACTGCAATGAAAATTCCTGATTCTGTCAATGCTAGCATGCAATGCTGGGCAGAGCATTCAGTTTGCTCTGCTGCCACATGCTGATTTGGATAATCAGTGTATTCAAGAGTACAAAGTACCAAGGCAGATGTGATATTTTCATTTCTTACAGGCAATGAGAAGTTTTACTTGTATTTGTAAAATGCATTCAGGTAAAAGACATTCTGAAAATGTTAAGCATAACAATGCAGTTTACCTTGTAGGGTTCCCCAAAGAGGTTAAAACCTGAAGCAAAGAGATCTTCATCTTGCTGGACTTCCTGGTTTCTTCTCTCCCATTCTTTCCGCTTAAGTGCACTCCGGTCTTGCTCATAGTGACTGAAGAAGAGAAAGACAAAAGAAGACAACACATTATTTTTCCCATAATTTAGTTACCCATTCATTACTATCAGTAAGAGCAGCAAAATATCAGAAACAATGTAACTCCTGATGACAATTCTGAAAGAAAGCAGCAGCCACTGAAAAATTTTCCCAAATGTAAATTTGGAATCATAATACTATATGAAATTGGGCAATAGGACAGCCAGTACACTTCTAAAATGAAAACAGACAAAAATGTTCTTTTCAAATTAACAGAGCATTACGCAGAAGAATAAAATACATTTTGATGCATTTATATGAACCGTCTGTAAAATAAATGCATGCGCACACACACACAAACACAGGCACATGTGCCCACAAAGAACATGGCTGTGCAAAGAAAGCAAATGTGAAGTCAAGGATGCACAACAACATCTCAAATCCATTTAACTGTGTAACACTGGCCTCAATCCATCCCAGTGCTCCAGCTCAGCCTCATGTGATTTAGACCACCTAATTCTGTCCCATGTACTTGCTAAAATTTATGTATGGCTTCGTTGTGGTTGTCAAGGGTGTTTTAAAAAGTGTTTTTGTAGCAGGCTCCCAGAAGAGACTTTAGGACAGTTGATTCCAGTATCAGATAATTCTACACACAAACAAACAGAAAAGGATCTCGCGCTGCAGCACAGCAATGGCGCGTGGCACTTATCTGTGTGTCAGCTTACTTTGTGCACCTGCCAGACCTCGATGACAAGCTGAGAGACCACATTTACTTCTCCCCTGAATAGCACTGAAGTACTTTGGTCTCTTGGCTTCGCAACCTACCTCCCGTTCCTCTGAGGGAAAAGATATAATTAAAACCCTGAAGGAGGGGGAAAAATAGGAAAGGAAGAGGAAAGGAAAAGATGCATGCTTCAACTTGCACTGACAACCTCTCATGCGACAACCATTAAGGGACACTTCTGTGCTTCAACCCGCATTTGATTTGTTATGAGGCTTTTGGCTCTGCTTTGTGTCAGTTAATTAGCCACCAAATTCCAGATGACAATTTGAATAGCAGATTCAGTACGTGCCTTGATGTTATCTGTTGTAAGCAGCATTTCCCTGATAGATTCTGGACACGCATGCACACACCCATGCACACCCCCTATGTACAAATGCATACATACAAACATACATATTACATATGTAACAAAGAACAGTTAATTCTCCTATCTCTGGCAAGAATGAATTAAATCTCCATAGAGCTCCACTGCACTTGGAAGATAACCAAATATCTACAACTTTTGCCTTTTTAGCTCAGCATGATGTTGTATTGAAAGCTTCACACCGAGAGTTATAATGAGGAATGAACTGCACAGTGATGAGGCTTTAACAGTGTATAAAGTCACTGATTTCTGAGTGAAACCACAATTACTAATTTGAAGCACCAGCTAATTAAAACCACAGCTATGTATTTAGCCTCTTGTTATACCTACTGCAGTTTATAATTATGAGGACCTCTTTATCTACTCAATTAAAGTTCTTATGATTCAGGCAGGTTGTGTTTGAACCTGCAAGCCCTGCAGAGAGCACAGGAAAGCATATGTCTGTGCCTGATGACTCCATGTATCCTTACACTCCTGTTTTTGTTTTTGTACAGGGAAGGGAAGGGAAGGAAAGAAAAAAGGAAAGACTAATGCCACAATGTGATCCCTAAATAAAAAATATGAATTAATAATTGGTTTAAGCAATTCAAGATCACTCAGGCTTGGATTGAATAAGGCTTGTATGAGTATGGCTTGTAAAAAGAATGCAAAGCCACCTGCACAAGCTGAGCTGAATGATTTCCATACACATTTTGTTTTTACAAGTTGAAAAGTAGTGACATCACTGGCACCAACATCAAGCTCCAGAACATTGTTATAATCATTCCTGGTATTTTTTTCAGAAGCTATAGTACTGTTTGCTGGCTTCTTGAGGCAGACAGAAGGGAAATTGTTGTAAGCAACAGTCACTTTACTGTATTATAGGTGACTGTATTGCTGACACAATACTGCAAACCACAGGCGACCTGTTCACTAAAAGGTGAAGGGGGGCACAAGTATCCCTTCCTTTCATGTGCTAAAACAAGATTAAAATCCACAGGTACGGGAATATGTGAGCACAATCTGTTTCCCAAATTGGTACACAAAGATGAGGACAAGGTCGACTCCATCTCTCCCCACAACTCTTCTGGAGTAGGGGGCTGGTTTAGTCCAGGAACAATCCAGCCCGGGAGCAGTAGGAACACACTGTATTCACCCCTCTCATGGGAGGTATTTCCAGAGATTTCTTTGGCATTTTGACCCACAGATTGTGTGACTCTTACAGCAAGATCTGATCATTATGAAGTTATGAGCCCAGTCTTGATGCCAGCTGAGTGGATCTAGCATAAGCAGAATTTTATATCCTGCATAAGTAATCCTTGCTTATGGGAGCAGTCCTATCCCTGGTACTGCCAGCATTCACTTCAGAAAGAATTATTCATGGAAGTTAGAGCTGTGTTTTACAGCTTTGCAGTGGCAACCTTGCCTGGACTTCCAGGGTGAAATCCTGCGGCCATTTAAACAAAACTGAATCTGGCCACCGAACACACAGATCACAGAATCACAGATTACAGCACAGAACAGATCTCACCCTTCACGTGAGGTTCCAGCACTCTGGTATCTAAAAGCTGCCTCTGGTGTCCAGTATGCATAGTATTTAGGGAACCAAGTGAGGCATTAAGCCATATCCTATCTGATAAAAAGCAGCAAAGGCCCTACGACTATTTAGATATGTTTTGTGACACATTACAAAACCACAAATTCAAAAATGATGAAAACAGCTGTAATTCAAAATGGCATAATCACTTTAAAGACATTAACTTAAGCTAAGACAGTATTTACAATGTTAACAGCAAGAGGTTGAAAAAAACCAGTATTTTCCAACACAACATACTGAAGTATTTCTCTTTTAGTGCATGTGTTTATGAAAGATTCCATGCACCCAAGAGGTGAGCACAAAGGCGCATCTCAGGCTCTGGACCCCAACGATGTTTACAGGGTACCAAACTGTGAGCATCCATTTTACAAGACAAGCAAAGCCCTAAATGAATTGTTACCTTTGCATCAATCCAAACCTCTCGCTCATATATTGTCTTGTAAGAGCAACAACAAAAAAAATTTAAAGTTTCATTTTGAACTTTCCACCACAGAGTCACATCCCAGCCTTACGTGTACGAAGTATCTGTTCAAAAGGAAGTGGTTGCTCATCCTGTCGGGTCAATTACTTGGCTTATTTCTCTGCAAATGTACTTTCGCTATGGGAATGCTTGACAGGGCACTGATGTGGCTATGGAAAGTCAAATATTATAAGATCGTACACAGATTAGCATAACTTCTTTGGGTTCCTTTGTAATCCAAAGAGGGATGCTGATTAGATCTTAAGGCTGGAGTGCACTGAGAACCTAATGGGATGCTCTCCAGAAAATCTTAATGCAGCCACAATGCAATCTCTGGGACTTATGTTTAATATTTAGCTTAACTAATGTTCTGTGAAATACAGATATGTGATTAGTGGTGAAGGTGTCAGTGAAAACTATAGTCAGATACCATGAGGAACATCAGAGTTCAGTCTGTCTCATTAGTATGAGAAATACTTTGTGACTCCTCTAAAGCCAGGAGAGTAGGAAATCACAAATGCAGACTTTTGCAAACATTTTTAAAAAGAGATTTAGAAGAAAGCAGCTGCAGGCCACAATACTCACTGTATCCGAGAGGGCCAGTTCCCTAGACACAGCTATTACATGACAATGTAGTTTAAATACATGAGCTTTATTGTTTTGTTACCACTTATTAGATTAATAATTGAATTTGAATGGGGAAGTCTGTACATAAAACCGAGAAGATCAGGAACGGTGAGCAGTAGGAATGCTACAAGAGCACGAGACTACTGATCTACAAATTACCAGCGTGCTGGATATGGCAGAAAGAACAGTAACCACAACTGTGTTATTGTTTTGGTATGTTTAACATGAAGGCAGGCTGCAAATGCATTTTGAATAACAGCTTTTGATACTTAATCCTTTAAAATCAGACCAGCATACATCCATTTGTCATTCTTCTCGGCTACACCCTAAGGGAGAGCGGTGAGCTGAGGCACGGTGACAGGCCAGGGGCTCAGCCTGTAGAATCTGCAGGCTGCTAGCGAGGCCCAGGGAGCTGCACCCTTCACACCCACGGTGGCCCAAGATGGCTGCGGGGACAATCCAGGTCAAGCAGAGAAGGGGAGAAGGTGGCTGAGGCAGGAGGAGGTTATATCAAGGCAGAAGATAACAGGCACGCACATGGGCTTTGGGTTGGAAGCTAAAAATGTGGATCTGGTGATAAGAGATGGAAGTCACATATGCACTGTCTACAAAAAGGAGAACTAGAAGAAGAATAAAATTTGGGGCATTGGAAAGGACAGTGTACTCGTGTGTGGTGAAAGCAAGAGGATGTGGTGCAAAGGATCTGGAAGGAAAAGAAAAAACCCTTTTGAACAGACTGCAACAGAAACAGAACTTAGAGGGAAGGGTTAAAGTAAGGCTGAAGAAGTAAGACCAACAGCTAAAGGCTGAGACCTAGCATTTGCAGTTTATCTAAAGCCACAGAAGCAGCCTCCCAAAGCGCAGAAGTCTAGGCAAGGCAGACAAAAGCCTGAAAGACGGGAGAAAGAGCAGAAGACCAGACGAGTTTGAAGGAGCAGTCACCGTGATATGGAGAAAAAGTAGAAGAGAAAAAAAATGATCAAACACCTAATGTTGCAGAAGAATCATGAATGAAACTGGAGCAGAGAGGCTTTATAGTAGTGACAGGCTACATCCACGCAGATAAATGAACAACATTCAAGAAAAACAGCATTTACCCACAAGTTAAGGAAGAAGTAGTTGCTGTTCTCATTAACGTGTCTAAATTCACAAAAATGCACACCATGATTAAATCAAAAATCCCCCTGTGCTAGTTTCACCCCCCTTAAAATATTGGATGTGCTTAAATGATGAGAGAAGTTCTCAAACTGAAATGTTTGTCATTTGTGGAAACAAGAAATAAACACTTCTAAACTAAGACACGGTGGATAAAAAATTATATACATTTGAGAACTGAAAGTCCTTTCCCAAGGTGATTTCCTCATAGTTCTGACTTTGGGACAGAATTGTTCTGCCATGAGCACTCAGGAAGCTGGTGAAGTAAACTCAGAAACTGGGCTTCCTCGAAAACTAACTCATATGCCTGCACAAGGTATTAAACATCGCAAATCAAAAACCACTCACAAACATATTTGACTTACATGAGAAATCCAGCTCAGGTCAATGAGAATATTCCCATGCTTAAAATACATCCTTGCTTTTCCACACCAGGGCGATTCTTTTTCAATGTGAGTAAAAATGTAAGGCTAAAAGCATTACACCTGATAATCAAACTAGGTAAAAGACTACTTCTAGCAAATACATTACAATGGGAATTCAACTCTATGTAACTCCAGATTTATCTCACCATAACTCCATTGATTTCATGTAAAAGCAGAGTACCACAACACTGTAGAAAAGAAGCAGAACAGGCTTCCTTGGTGTATTCAGATTCTCCCAGTACACACTCTAGTATTTCAATACATTTATTCCAAATGAAAAAAAAAAAAAAAAAAAAGCAGCCTCAGGTTTTAAATTTCATTGCAGGTCTTAAAACTATTCAGTAAGTGAGGGGAATTTCAAAACCTGATCTTTATGCAGAAATATGGCCAACTTACCTCCCCTGCTCATCTGAAGTCTTTGTTTCAGTTAATGATAAACATCATAAGCAGTATCACACTTAAAACAGCAAAATTCCTCTTCCTCTGTTTATCAGCATTGAACTTTCATCTTTGTCCTGGTAATTTTACTACTTGACAGAGACCAATCAAGCCATGACAGAATAGCTTTACAACTTTCTTTCATATTTACACTTACACTTACAACACTATCTTTCATATTTAACACTTACTTCAGTGTTGAGTTCTTCTTCATAGCATGGTTACTGAAAGTATCTAGCACAGAATTTATCACTGCACTGCACTTCAAGATAAATAATTTATTTTATAATATAGAATATTCTGTCTTTGATGTTCAACAGTTCTGTAGAGAAACACTTGAGATGGTCACTGGTTATCTATCCACATGAGCTAAATCTCTTAACAATTTGCATTAAAAACAATGCCACTCCTGTAGCACATTTGATAGAGAATACAGAAGATTAAAGCCTCTGAACAAAATAACACCCAAGAGAGCCCTGGGCAATTTATGGAAATTTAAGCTAGAAGGCTAAGGGTTTGGCTTATATTTGTCATATTCTTCATTTTTTTCATTCCCTCCCCCCCACCCTCCCTTCCCAAGTACCTAGAAAATGTTATTTTCACTCATTTTTCTCCTCTTTTTGGTATTATGCAGCCCCAAAACTTTCCTTAACGTGAATTTGGAAAGAACGATTCTGGGGGAATGGATGACAGAGATAAGCTCCTGAATAGTAAGCATATAAAGAATAGATGAGGTTTCAAAGGGGAGCATTTATTGTTTCCTGTATCATAGCACATTGTCTTTCGATATGATTAGTTATCAGTCTGAGTTATCAAAAACTGGGATGAAATAAAGCGCTTACGCAGTTATGCTTCATTGATGTCAGCTAGGGGAGCATGAAAATCTCCATGAAGTTGGGTAATTGATGTGTAAATCAGAGCTCAATCACTCTGTAATAGAAATGGTCCCACTGAAAGTATGGCTGCTGAACAGTATTGCAGAGGGGTGGGAAAGAAAGAAAGAAACAGAGTCAAGATAACACTTATTTATTAAAAATTATAATAACTGGCAATTTACACAATTTTGTCTTCAAGAGAGAAGTGCTGTCAGATATATTTAAATGCAAGCTACAGACCACTATATTTGGATATCCTTATTCAGTAATAATTAACTGTTTCTGTTTTATTAAAATGCTTGGGGACATGGTTATGGATATTTAAAAAGCAAATTAAATTAACATGTTCCTCCTTTGAAAGGCAACATGTGTAAATGACATCAGCGATTGTAATTTGGTTAACAATGTGTGTTCAAGGTATGTTTTGGAGTCCTATTACAGTCTTCTTGTCAGTTCAAATTTGTAGCATGAGAAACAAAAGCAAAACTGAAGGAAAAGAGGGGAAAAAGAAAATGAAAGAGAAGAATGGTCATAATATAACCACAGCTCCAAAAGGGCATTAAAAGACAAACAGTCATTAGAACATCATTCACATAAAATAGCTTCCCAACATGCGATACTTCTAAGAGTAAACACCTGATAAGTAAATAAAAGAGCTGGACAGGCTGGAGAGTTGGGCGGAGAGGAACATGATGAAGTTCAACAAGGGCAAGTGTCGAGTGCTGCACCTGGGGAGGTCAAACCCCATGCACCAGTACAGGGCAATGACCTGCTGGAAAGCAGCTCTGCCACAAGGGACCTGGGAGTCCTGGTGGATGACAAGCTGACCATGAGCCAGCAGGGTGCCCTGGCTGCCAAGAAGGCCAATGGTATCTTGGGGTGTATTAAGAGGAGTGTGGCCAGCAGGTTGAGGGAGGTTATCCTCCCCCTCTACTCTGCCCTGGTGAGAACCCACCTGGAGTACTGTGTCCAGTTCTGGGCTCCCCAGTTCAAGAAAGATGAGGAACTCCTAGAAAGAGTCCAGAGGAGAGCAACTAGGATGATAAAGGGACTGGAGCATCTCCCCTACGAGGAAAGGCTGAGAGAGTTGGGCTTGTTCAGCCTGAAGAAGAGAAGACTGAGAGGGGACCTTATCCTTCTTCTCTGGAGATATTCAAAGCCCGCCTGGACGAAGTCCTGTGTAGAATGCTCTAGGAGAGCCTGCTTTAGCAGGGGGGTTGGACTAGATGATCTCCCGAGGTCCCTTCCAACCCTTGCGATTCTGTGATTAACACTACATTATGGGGTTGGTTTTGTTGTCATTTTTTTCTTTCAATAAACGAATGCACATTAAGGCATTGATACCAACTGTAGAGAAACACCTGGAATCCAGTATTCTAGTTATGGCTCACACTAAACCACTGATAAACTCTAATAAACTTACATAGATGTGAAGTTTATGAGCATTTTTAGCATCAAATGAATTACATTCAGGACAGGAGCTGGATTAGGAAGCTCTATTAAACGGGTAATGTGCTGTGACTTTAAGGGGACTCCGATTACTCAAGAGGGGTT